CTCCAAATGTAAATCCGACCCCCCCACGACCATCACTATTGTCAGTGCGACGCTCGCCGTACCTTTTCGCGGTGCGTCGTCTACTCATCTCTCTCGGAATTGGGGAACCGGAGGGGGCCCGAGCGAGTCTGCGACCCGGGCGACCCGGCTGTTGGCTAGGAAAGGGTCTTTTTTCGGTGTTTCTTTACAAAAAAAGGCAGAAGATGTGGTAGTTGCTTTTTCCCGCTACTATGTAAAATACTGTAATTATTAAATTTTTACTACTAAAATAGTATTTTAATGCTGTGTGCTGCAATATAGTGTATTTTACCTGTGTTAAGTATGCAATTTCATATACCTATTATATATTAAATCATATAAAAGTGGACGTCAGGTATATCAATTATCAGACAAGCAAACGTCCAGTGGCACTACTAAACCAATTTTTTTTTTTTTGGAATGGGCACTAAAGCCCAACCATAAATTTTCCTCATCCACTAAATTCATGGACTATTTTTTATTATAAAAAATTATATAATTATATAATATGTATATAAATTGTATTATATATTTTTTTTTATTATTGACAAATAATTRTATATCATCATAATCATTAGTTTATGTTAAGCTACTGTTTTACTTTTTTAAATTTGGTCAAATAAGGAAGGATACAATTTCGCATAGATAAAATATCGATTATTTCAAAAACTGGTTTCGTGTAAAAATCGAAGTTTTTCCTTAATTATTTTGTATGTATTTCATGACGCTTTTGAAAACTATTGAGATTTTAAGATTTTTAACTTTTGACCCTCCCCCTCCCCCCCCCAAAAAAAAAGGTACCATCTATATTCACTTTCCTATCAGAAAAGATGCTATTGAACAAAWTTAAAGCATTTATAGTGTTCCAACTTCCAAAAGCTGACGACACACTCATTATATAGTATACYAAATATATTCATTGGTTTACTCTGAATTTAAAAAAACACATTACTTTCACTCGTTACGCTCAGAATTTTAAAATTTTAAACAAGATTTAATTTTTTTAGTGTAACTAGGTATATAACGAATATGCGTAGATATTTTAGATTTTCACCAAATGTTTGTAGTATAGCCAGTTGAATCGACGAAAAATAATTGAATTTTTAAATTAATGTGACATAATATAAACTCCACAATAATGGTAAATAGTAATTAAGACGCTTTATGTAATGGCCTCTACTGCCGAGTTGAACTCAAGATTAATAAAAAAAAAGCGGGTAAGTCGTGGATGTCACTCTGCTGTACTGCAGTAGGTTACAAGTGGGTTACTGTAATGGATGGAATTACATTTGAATCCAATGATATTATATCATTGTATACGAAAAACGATTTTGAGCGAAGACGGTTTATCTGTCTAGGATATATTAGAGCAACGGTTYCAACCAATGGGCCGCGGACCAGTTGTGGTCCCCGATCAGCATGGCACTGGGAGACAAAATTTTGAAAAATTATATATTATATAAGAGTATTTTATATAATTGATTAACTTCCAGGGTCCGCAAAACATATATCCTCGGTCTGCTAGTTGTTGGGCCCCTGATACAAACCAACAGTATTAACATTTGTTTACGTCGTAAAAATTTAAACTTAGAAAAATATAAAATAGACTAGAAATTTCAAACTAAAAATGTCTACACTGTTGTTCCGGAAAATGAAGTAATTGTGAAAGTACGTGTTACATTGATAATGAATACGTTTTAGAACCCCATATTTCCTAATTTAGGATAAATGGAACAGTCGTCCCAATAGACGTAAGAGGAACCCCAGTTTCCTATTTTACTGTGGAACTACAATATTATACGTATCTAACAACCTATTATACGTATTTGCATTACCTAGAGTCCTGAGCTTTGCACAGTGACATAGTGACTAATAATTTATAAAGTTCATGTCATCTAACAATATAGAAATTTATTGAACAGAATATAGATTACTAAAAATTTTCAAATCTTAGATTTAAAAATAAAATTTTTTATGAATTTCTAGCTTAAAATAATTTGCGAATTTTCGTGATTTTTACATATGTTAACAAAATTCAATTTTTGAATGCTTGTAAAAAAATTTTGGCTGTGTATTTCTTTTATTTTTCAACTGCTATTGTAATAATATGTTAGGAGCCAAATGTATGGACTAATGTAATAATACTATAGTAAAAAAAATGTTAACTAATCTAATATAATATAAGAAATGGTTTGTCTTTCGAAGCTGTATGGCTTGTGGAATGTGAAGGAAACAGAAGTGTATAATGTATTTTTATCCTAATTCCTGGTTTACTTGGGGTAATACCACTAATACCTATATTATTATACATAACTAATAAATGTTACAAAACAATCAAAAATTACCATACATTGATGATAAACTTAACAAAAAAAAAAAAATGAAACAAACAAAAAAGAAGAACAATATTGATTCAAAAAATTCTAATTTATTTATAATATGATATATTATAATATACAAAAGCGAAAGGAAACTTCTTGGTCTATCAATGGTCACTAGATGTCCATGAGTGTGATAAACGGGTTGGGCTGATATTTGGCATACAGATAACTATGATGGCGTATGCATTGCCATTGGCTAAGAAAGGATTTTTGAAAATGCAATCTTTGAAGGGATTAAAAATGGATTGTAAGAAACCTTGAGATAATTTATTTTGACGGCTATTTCTAAAGTTCTGCCGAACCGATTAGCGTGATTTATATTTTAAATACAAAAGTGTTAGATGAGTTATAAATCATTTATTGAGAAAAGTTCAAATAGTAAATTAAATACTAACTACGAAAATAAGAATACAATGGTAGCACCACCTATCTAGCAAAATAAAATTAAAAAATACACCGCGAAGGCACAATGTTACCAGTAAAATAAATAAAATTATAGCTGTGACCTGTGAGACAATTGATTAACGTTAACGAGAACCTTCTTGTGACGTGACGTCACAACACAGTGGCTGTGTGTTTATCATTATCACCTAGCTCCCGTGAAGTTATGATTAATTCATAAATAAGAATGCACCGGAGTGCTTGGCACTTGCACAAATGTTTTGGTGTTTTAGGTTATACTTCCTATTACTCAATCACTATATTCGCCAACATATCTATTTATCCCTTTGAATGCGTCCCAAAAAAAGTTTTACCTACACCTACGTGAACTGCAGTACAAATATGAACGTCCCTGATTGCATTTGTATAGGTATTTATACTTTTAAGTGGTTCTTAAAATAATCTTTTTTATATTAGTTATTTTTTTATGTAACGTATTAGTATTATTACATAGTATTATATTAGTTTGGGTAGTTAGACTTGTAACTTTAACATATACTATATTATATTTTATTCATAGATAATAAATAGTAAATACATGGATAGGACCATAGCCCTTTTAGTCATTGACTAATCCATCCGATATCAAATACATTGCCCATTTAGTTAAAATAAATATATATATATATTATAATGTACTGTTTCAGAGTAATTCAGCAACCAAAATAGTCGCCACCTATTATGACACGGTGGAAATATGATGAGGGCTACCGGCTATGAATAAGATCATAGGCACAATTTCAATAAAAAAAACTAAGGGTGCTTAAGTTATGCATTTTCTCATTTCAGTTTTTTGTATGATGGAGAAGTTTTTGATACATAAGCACGAACATTATTTGAGGGTGCTAATTTTAAAATTGGGGGGTACTAAAGCCCACTAAGCCCCCCTATTTACGTCTATRGATAAGACTACAAAATAACATTGAGACATAACATCTCTACAGACAAATAATTTGGTATTGTTATATGTATTTAAATAAAAAATATATTTATATATATTATATATATGTGTGTGTGTGTATCTTATTGTATCTTTCTATCTTCATTCTTCTGTAAATCAGGTAATCAGGACCTTTGATACCAATTATCTTGGGAACTAAATAAAATATTTCTCATAGATTCTAAGATAAAAAACTTATTCTTACGATTGACAACGTTAATTTTGCTTATTAAAATATATAGATTATGAAATCTAATATAATAATATACTATAGCTTTAACGCTTTAAGTATTGAATGCATTAAGAGAACGCTAGATGAACGTGTGTGCAGTTCAAATCGTAGTGCCTAGGTACTAATACATTTGTGACGCATATTGTGTGTCGTGGTACACATAAAAATAGGATCTAGAAAAAAATTTTTTTCAATTTCAATACGTTATTCTGATAAATTAAATTAAATACTTTATCAGTGTTTTTTTCCCTATCACGTTTATAAAACAATTTTGGTACATTTACTGTTAGGATATCCGAAGTACCTACTCACCTATCATAATATATAATTATATATTTAAAAAAGAAAGTTCTAATTATAAAAAAGCGGGTAAGTCGTGGATGTCGCTCTGCTGTACAGTAGGTTACTGTAATGGATGGGATTAAATTTGAATGCAATGATAGGTACCTATCATTGTATACGAAAAACGATTCTGAACGGAGA